TTATATATAAGTAACTAATTAAACTAAGTTATAGAAAATAACTAGGTTAAAGAGTGTATATATATATATATATAAGTAACTGGTTAAAAGTATTTGAAGATAAGTAAATGTTTAATAGAGTTTAAAGATATATATAAGTAACTGGTTAAAGAATTTATATATAAGAACTAGCTAAAACTATGTATAGATCAGTAACTGGTTCAAAACTGTTTGTAGATAAACAACTGGTTAAACAATTTATATACATATTAACTGGCTAAAACTGTGTATAGATAAGTAACTTGTTAAAACTGTTTGCAGACAAGTAAACACTTAAAAACGGTGTATATTTTTTGATATTACAAATAAAACAAACGTGTATTTAGTTTGTAACTGAAGTCTTGCGTTCACACATTGATGACTAATCAACAAAGGCTCTGTGATTCATCTCCGTAGGGTGATTCACCCTATATTGACCGTTGTTAATAAAAACCATAACCTTTGTCCACAATACATATATACATTATGACAACTAATACTGGTAATAGAAGAAGAATTCTGAATTTTGGTCCCATCATAATGTATTGAATAGCATTATATTCATTAATATATTTACAGTATACATATATACATATATATATATACATAATTTGAAATATAACTAAAAAGTAACTTTTTTCATGTACAATTAAATTTAAATCATGTATTTAGGATTGTATAATGGTATAAACTTCTAGTAACGACAAACAATAAGCGGTAAGCTGGAGAACTTATAATCCTAAAATTCCCAAGTTCGAGCCCTGTTGTATGCACAGCATAAATGGACTCTTGTACAACTTTCTACTCAATAAAAATTATTATAGACTATTATTACAATTTTATAGTTTATTGAATATCTTACTCGATATTTTATTACTTATAAGCTTCAGTCCAGGTAATTAGGTACATCAGTAATGCACAAATATTGTTTATAAATCATGTTCTGTTGGCGAGGTAAATAACAACACAAACTAGACAATATTTTATAAACAATGATATTTAGCGACAACAACAATGTCAGACTAACAAGGCTAATAAAATCAGCAGTTTAAGAGTTCAATCTATAGACGTACGCTCCGTACTAGTCCACATTCAACAAAGTTCATTTCCTTATGGTGTATTTGTTTTTAAGCGCAATGCTACACAATGAACTAGCTGTGCTCTGCCCACTACAGATATGTAAACCTGATTTTGAGCACTGTAAGTTTGACCTGTTTGAAATTTCGCACAAAGCTACATGAGAGCTATCTGTAGTAGAGGGAAGGCAGCTAGACAAAAACAACACCCACTGCCAACTTCTTGGGCTACTCTTTCTCCAACGTCACATTATAGCGCCCCTACGGCTGAAAGGGCAAGCATGTCCGGTGATAGGGATTCAAACCCGTGATCCTCAGATTGGGAGTCGAACGCCTTAACCACCACGCCAGCATTATAGGCCCCCATACTTACCGCTGGCCCATCGGAGTACATTCCTCGTTTTTTTCAGAATTAACATTATTAGCTTACTTGAAAACATGAGCAACTAAATGGAGCATCTGTTTGTTTGTTTTTTAACCTCTACCTTAAAAGTCATAAAGTTCACAAACTATTTCACACTGCATATTTCCATTTACAATTCACAAAGTTTACAAACTATTTCACACTGCATATTTCCATTTACAATTCATAAAGTTCCCAAATTATTTCACACTGCATATTTCCATTTATAATTCATAAAGTGTCCAAACTATTTCACACTGCATAGGAAATATGCAGTGTGAAATAGTTTGGGAACTTTATGAATTGTAAATGGAAATTTGTCTGTGATTAAGCACAAAGCTACACGATTGAATTTCAGACAACTTCAGTACTTCTAGTTAACGAATCGGCTTGGGGCAAAATAACGTTATGTATCATTGTATCACATCGCGTAGTATGCATATGAGGGCAGCATTTTTTGTGTGTATGTATACAGGTTTGACCACACTTATGGCACACTTATCATTTGGTGATACATTTACACCGTCGTATAATGGCAGAAAGTTTTTTCATTGTTCTTTATTTTCATTACTTGGGAATTCCTGGACTTGTTCTGAACCCGCCACCTGTTGCCGTACTCATAAGAAAGTTAGCGAATAAATTTGTCTGGCGATGTTTCTGGTACAGATTTATAGCTAGTAAATTTAAGTACGGTTTATTAATTATTCTTCTGTCACTATTTTATAGACTGTTTTCTTTACTTTGAGTTTATTTTGTAATTGAGCCGGGCGTGGCTCTTATTGTTAGCGTATTGAGCTACGATTCGAAGGGTCTAGGGTTCGAGATGTAACGTCGCTGAAAACACTCTCCTCACTTTCAGCTATTTGACCAACATGACCTTTGTGACGTGTGGTGCTTGATAGCCACAATAGATCAAAATTAGAGACGAACCTTAAGGGTCACTGACCTAGCGTGTAATCCATGTGTGTGTAATATACCATTTAGGTTCAAGGTTCTAATTCCAGTTTTGTAACTTTTACAGTCAATTATGAAAGACCCGACATATCAGTTAATTTCACGGGAGGTCTTTCTTTTCGTGCTCACGAATATTTTAGTTGAAGTTAACAAATTGCCACATAAACTTCAAGGATCGAGTAACTTATACTAGTAGTTTACTTTGAGTTTAATAAGACAGTTTCTGTATTTTTTATATTTCAGGTGCATAACGAAATGTAAAACGCAACACAGAACTAAAACAAGATTGTCTGATATTAGCACCTTACTTTCTGTTTGTTTTTTACTTAATAAAACACCCATAAATCACTCTCTAAACTCAAACCTATCTATATAAAAAAAACTCATGCAATTATAACTTTTGAAGGAAAAAAAGTTATTCTATTACTATCTTAACATTATTATTTGCATACTTAAGGATTTTTACACGTTAAAAATTTTGTGTTCATGCGTATAAATAAACGTCTGTACCGGTATAAAAGTGAACGTGAACATGTCTAAATTGTCTTGAAACGGAAATAGATGAAGTATAATACATATTTTGATAAGGTTTACCATCCGAAAGTGCTCGGTTTCTCACATAGTCGAAGATTGGCTGAACAAGTGGGCCACGTGATAATTAAGTGATGCTGACAGCCACTCGTCCTTTTAGTTCAAAGGTCGTGGAGATTTTCCAGACGATAATATCCTATTTAAGCGCCAGGTCGAGTTATTTTCGCCCAGTTATTCTGCAGAACTTGTCCCCACACTAATCATGGCAGCTAGAAGCAACGTACGTCAGATGCTAGGGTTTGGAGACCTGGCCAACAAGAGGGCACTGTCCGTAGCTCTGTTCGCGGAGTTTATAGGGACAGCTATACTGGTCCTGATCGGTTGCGGCTCTTGCATTACCGGCTGGGATTCGGATTACTCTCCTACTATTGTCCAGATAGCCCTGGCTTTCGGCGTGACCGTGGGGACGGTGGTACAGTTTATCGGGCATGTCAGTGGAGGACACATAAACCCTGCCGTTACATTCGCTTTTCTGGTCACCGCGAAGATCTCCTTACTCCGTGCAGTCCTGTACATTATCGTCCAGTGCTTAGGGGGAATAGTGGGTGCCGGCTTGCTGAAGGCACTCACACCCTCCCACCTGCAAGGAAACTTGGGAGCCACTGTTCTAAGCCAGCACCTGAGCCCCGTCCAAGGCTTCATCGTCGAGCTCTGCATTACCTTGGTTTTGGTGTTCACAGTGTTCGCCTGTTGTGACGAGAACAGAGGAGACATCAAAGGATCCGCACCCCTAGCCATCGGCTTGTCCGTGGCAGCCTGCCACATGTTTGCTGTAAGTTAGTCTAAACTTTATAGAACCATTTAGCAAAGTTTGTTTTTAGTTTGTAAATATAATATTACACTCTTCTGACAGTTATTAAAAACTTGCTAATATTTAAACAGTTTTGTAATGCGTTAAGCTAAGATTATCCATCTTTCTATATATACATTATAACTTATACTACAGAAATGGCGTTCTCTTTCTTTTTGTCTGCAAAAAATTTTAAACAAAATGTCGTTATTTTCTGATTCAAGACATAACGTGTACAGAATACCAGTACTCACTAGTTTATCGTATTTACTCATTGGAAATAAAAGTGATTTATTTCAAACTCATTACTTCAGAACGAGGGTGACAGGTCTTCAAAACTGGGTTAGTGAAGCTTTAACGTAGTCTAATGTGCATGCGTATAGGGGGTATCTCGACCCTTAAATTAATTTCACTCACATATGTAAATAGCATACTTAAAAAGTGTAAAAACAGCTCCATTTTTAGTGTAAACTGCAAACATTTCCCGAGTGGACCATGTCCTCGATCCACTTTATAGATTTCTGCCAACGTACCTTTACTACTGGTTGCTCATGCTCGAGGCCTTAACAGCTAGGTACGTACGACAGAACTTTGACACTGTCTACGGTACTGGTTGTTTCTGATTTTACATAGAATTATTGTTTAGTTGCGGAGGAGAGCATTTATGTTAACAAACCTGGATAGTTTACGTTTTAGGATTTTAACGACGCCCGTATATCTATCGTGGAACAAACCATTTATGGCTTAGATCAGTGAAGTCATCATTGTTTGTGGCGTAGTGAGGAGATAGAGTTTAAGTCTATATGTGCAATAGAAAAATTGTTACGTCTCCGTTTGTTAATTAACTTTCCGAAGCTTCGTTCCGACGAAAGTTTAGCGACACAGGTTCTTTACTTAATAAAACTGGTTTATTCTTTCCGAATATAACTTTACCGATACACTCAACTTCAACAATCACGCTAAACAAACGCTATAACAACGAACGTGCTCAATAATACTTCTGACTGCAGATCAATTGTGAGACCGAATTGACGTACAGAAGTAAATTACACTATTCCATCATTCATCTGTAGATCAAATACAAGTCCTAGAGTACAACGTACAAGTAGGTGTATGTTCTACAAAAAGAAAATACGAGATTGATGTAACATATTGTTGCGTCATCGAGATCATGTGATTCTCACGCTCTCTACTTTCTAGAATTATCCTGTACTTTGGCGAATGTTCTAGTTCTTACTAGATATAGGGTAGTCGGGTATATAAAAGAGGGGGACAACGTGACAAGGTAATGTGTGTATAGACAGTGAGTTGTATTTCAGTGGGCGGCTTTTAAAAGTTAAAACTGCAAGCGTAATACACACAAATAACGTAACACTGTGTCGTATTTACTTAACGTAGGGCAGTTGCGCTATATCCTAGGGGAGGGTATAATTATTAATTAATAGGCCTTATAGGCCAGAGAAAATTTTGCGCCCCTTCACACCTGCGCCCGAGGGCTACTGCTCCTTGCCCCCTCTTGCTACGCCACTGTTATATGTACATATTTCCTTGATTTCTGCTTTATGATATTGATGATCAGATACAAGATAAGCCCAATACCTAAAACGTGTTCAACATTCGTTGTTACCTCTGAAACCATCGATAATCCAAGAAGAAACAAAATCAAGCAAACAACTGCGATGAAATATTCTCTTCTATATCCTCTTCTAAAGATGTGAGGGAATACGTCCACCATAGCTGTAATAACTCCTTCCACGGCTACAAACTGTTAAGAAGTTAAAAAATATTATGAGGATAAAAACTGTTCATTTGTTTTTCTATTAAATCAGTCATTCCTCAATCTATATATTATATATTTACACATTTCCAACCGTTTTAACTCTTGATTAGCGAATGAACTGAATACACGGTATTTTATTTACTCTAAGATTGCTTACAAAAACGTTGACGATAAAGATGGCCAATAGCCAATAATGTGAATTTCGTATACCCTAACGTAAAAGTTCTCATATCCATTCTATTTGGTTCTGATCCCCGTCACACCAAACATGCTCGCCCTTTCAGCCGTGGGGGCGTTATAATGTGACGGTCAATCCCACTATTCGTTGGTAAAAGAGTAGCCCAAAAGTTGACGGTTGGTGGTGATGACTAGCTGCCTTCCCTCTAGTCTTACACTGCTAAATTAGGAATGCCTAGCGCAGATAGCCCTCGTGTAGCTTTGCGCGAAATTCAAAACAAACAATCCATTCTATTCATATTCTGGAACGCTTACTCCAATATATTTTGAATTCCTATAAGTAAACGAAGCCAAGTAAAACTTTCAAACTCATCCAGTTTATTTAGAAAAGTAACATATATTATGTTTTTTGATGTTTTTGAGGGCTTAATTATAAGCCTATGTAGTATTTTCATTCTAAATTTAATGTTATAAACAAGGGTCGAATTTTAAACCTAAACAAATTCAAAGCAATTAACAAAACGTATATAATTCTAATCATTATATCAAACTTTAGGCTATATTCCTATTCACTTCTAACCAAATATTTCTAATCATAATGACAAATCCGGTTTTCCGCGTTAGAAAAGTTTACTCTCCTCCAATCTTATTTTAAATTGTGCAACGAAATCGTAAGAATACAACCAAACCAAACTTACTTATTCATTATGACCTGACGAAATGTCACAGTAACTGTTAACACGAAAATATAATGCCAATTCAAAACTTTATAATTAGAGAAATTTTACTTTTCTTGCTTTCATTAAAGTGTAATTCCAAACTATTTGCTTAAGTTCAATTTCCTGCTCACTTGAAATTGTTGCCAGGTCCAACTAGATAGGCAATCTACGGATCGCGGGATTGAAACCTGTCATCGATCATACTTGTCCTTTCAGCCATTGGGGCGTTATAATGTGGTGGTCGATGCCACTGTTTGTTGATAAAAAGTAGCTAAAGAGTTGGCGGTGTTGTTGACTAGCTGCCTTTACTGTAGTCTATCACTTCAAAATTAGGAATGGCTAGTGCATATATCCCTCAATTAGTTTTACGAGAAATTCAACAAACAAACAAATTTGAGTTCGGAAAAAAAACTACTTCCTCCACCAGGAACAATGATGAGCAATGTTAAAGGAATGTTCATTATGGCAGTGCTGAGAACAAATATGATAATTTGACCCTGAACAAAATGCTTTCCTAAGTCATCTCTCCATAAGGGAGACAGCAAAAGGTTATTTTGCATTGACATCAGTTGCCTCGTCATCTGATCAGACGATTTTAAGATACACGCGAGTTTCTTCGACAGATTAACATTACAAGAAAATGAGCTATGTTACTGCAGGTAGTTGTTCGCAATTTAGCTAAAGAAATTTACTTTCAAGTTTTGTTGTGGACAAAGGATAGTTTCCTCACAATTTTCGTATGAAAATTGTGTCTTCGTTGTTCATAAGCGAATCAGCTGTTCTTTTGAAAAAAAATTACCATTGATTTTAACTTATTCTGTAAGCTCCCTTGAGACTTTTACTCTCTTTGAAAACCATTCGTCAATTCTGCAGTAACAAAGGTTGTTTTTTTTTTCTGTTTTGGGTTTAAGTCTTTGATGATTCTGAAGACCATTAGTCTAGCCTTTCGTTTTGGCTCAATTGACATATCCTTGACCACGTGAGCATTCCAGAGGTAATGCCGTTTTCTTGTATTTCCTTTGCGTCTTTTAACACAAACATCAGAGAAAATTGCCCATTGATACTGAGTATACCGTCTTCAAATGCAAATTCAAGAAGTAGGTGTAACAAAACTAAAGATTATAGCCATCTGTTCTATGTGGCTTATAGTGTGGAGTACAGTCAAGCGTAATAGAGAGATACTTGGTACTCCTAGCAGAAGTCAATACGTTGATTTGAATCTTCTTGAACAGCAACTAAATAAATTTATTCCTAATGTCCTTTTCCAGATAAGTACTCAAGGATTTCTTGTGTGGCAATTATTCTAAGATGTTCTTTCATGACAGGATTAAACATTGCTAAATATTCAATAAAGTTCAGGAAATTTGCATTTCTGATTGTAAAGCGCTTCTCATGGTCTTCACAAAGAGAAATGGTATTTTGAGTTCCATGAGAGTTATGAAGTCAAGAAAAGTATTGCAAGTATAGTTTGCCAATGTTCCAGCTCCTTGTCTTAAACTGACGCAGGTTCTATTTTCTATATCGATTGCTTGGTTGGTTTTCTGTTGAGTTTCTAATACGTTCTACCACTGAAATGCCTTTAGATGATCCAACGACTTTTGATTTAGATTTTAAAATGATGATCATTTTTTCAGTTCTTTATGAAAAATTAGCTTTGCTGAAAATCTTCCAGCAAAAACAAACTCATTGTCTTGTTAGCAGGTCGTCATATTTTATAACTGTTTTGTAATTTCCTTACCTTGTAGTTTTTAGTAAAATGAAATGTGTACAGCTATAATGGATCTGTTTCGATCAACAAATGTTAAACTTTTGAGTCGATTTTTTGGACACTTAGCTCTATCACTCAAAGTAAAATGCACATGGATTTTCATTTCCTGTCTAATTTTCCTCTTTAGCGTTGCCTTTGTCAGGATAAGATGTGGCTTCTTTAAATTCTGACAACATATCAGGGAATCATAGCACTGATCTTCTCACCAGTTGTAACAGGAGTAGTTACTTAAATCATTCTACTGGTAGTCTCTCTCAACTTTATTTTATTATGTTGTAAAAACTTTTTGGATTTCCAAGCCTGCCTCCTTTTTCTTCTGCTTTCGTTTTCCAATATTGAGCAACATATAGATGCGAACCCATGTTATTTTTAAATCGACAGTTTAACCATTTCTGATTTATCACTATTTTAATTTTCACTGTTTTAAACTAGCTTGCACTTATTAGAAATTTCAGAATAATCTATTATGATAATCCTCAGATTTGTCTGTCGTGGAAATTCGCGCGCACCTTACTACTTAAATGCGTATACATTATTTCAACAGATGTAAATAAAAGGCGGATGTAAATGTACTTTAGAAGACATTTTGTACAACAACATATTAAAACTTATGAAAGTATTCAAAAAAAGTCTAACGTTAGGTCATAGAATAACGTTATAAGTATATTTATTGATAATAATTAGTACGGTAAAGTGTAGCCCTAACTAAACTAAAGCAAAAAACGTACACAAGTTAGTGTGCTAATTTATCTCTTTATCAAATATGGGCCGTATTTAATAAAGGCTTAAGTAATGTTCGGCCTAAGACAAGTGGACTTATAGATTTCAGTATCTCCGGTTAGAATTATTTTGTATTACTCTATAAAATTTGTATTTAAATAAATACTATTGCAATAAAGGTACTAATCCGACGGCAAATGTTTTGTGGGTCTCTGCTAGTTTTTCAATAACATTTTTATTCTAAAATTTCCCTAAAATAAAATTGTCAACTATAAAGTTTGCGCTCCACTTATCTTTAGCTATATTAGTGAGCACCTTCAGGTGTCGATTTCAAACCTGCATCTCAAGTTTCAAAATTTAATTAAAAATAATAACTCTAACTCTATTTGAAAAGTTTGTTTTACTCAAACATATTTTAGAATTGATAATTTGTAACACAGGTTTAGCGTAATTCGCAAAGAAGAAGCAAAAATGTACTATGAAGTTTGGCCTGGCATGGCCAGATGGTTAGGGCGCTCGATTCGCAATCTGCGGGTCGCGGTTTCGGATCCCCGTCACACCAAACATGCTCGCCCTTTCAGCCGTGGGGGCGTTATAATGTGACGGTCAATCCCACTATTCGTTGGTAAAAAGTATCCCAAGAGTTGGCGGTGGATGGTGATGACTAGGTTGCCTTCCCTCTAGTCTTACACTGCTAAATTAAGGACGGCTAGCGCAGATAGCCCTCGTGTAGCTTTGCGCGAAATTCAAAACAAACAATCATGAAGTTTCATTTTATGTATCTAATCAGTTTCAACTTGATTGATATTTATTAATATACATTTTTTATACTTTATTTTTTCCGATTGCAATAGTCAACACTTCTGGCTATCAATCGTCAAAAAAACCAACAAAAAAAAAACCACAGACAGAGATTTATCGTTGACCTACGACCTAACCTGTCACAATGATTAAGCTAGGTAACAATGTTTTTGATAACGATATTTTTGGTCGAGATCAATGTATACCTAATAAACATAGTTTGTTTTCAAAATAATAAGTTTTTTTTTCTACTTATCTGCGGCTCCCCAGTTTGTCTCTTCTGTAAAATGCCCCCCCCCCCCCAATGGCACAGCGGTATGTGTACTGACTTATAACGCTAGAATCCGGGTTTCGATACCCGTTGTGTGCAGAGCACAGATAGCCCATCGTGTAGATTTCTTTTTAACGTCAAACAAACAAACTTATCTACGTTTTTAAATACGATAAGCTTAACAGTAATATTCTATAAATAAGGGTTTGAATCATTGTAATATTTTGCTGCCACTAATGGTACTCTTTAAACTAACTAGGCCTACCTGGTGTCTTTTTTTCTCTTAGGAAAGTTTCCGTAAATTTCAAACAAATATAATTTAACAAGAAAGCGTTTCCGGGACAGGAAAGAATGTCTAAAGGAATTATAAAAAATCCCAGAACAATGGCTAGTTTCTAAGATCTTTAAATTTTCCACTACATTCTGTTGTTTTTTCTCTGCAGTTACTCCATATACTTCAGAAATATCTCGTTAAAAACTTGTAAATTGAATATTATGTTCTGGTTCCCCAGATGTGCTCAAGTAGGGGAAGCATAGCAGGACCTGTGGTATTATAAAGTTAAAACGACCTTGAATTTAACGATAAATTATTTTTATTTTGCAGTACGGCTGCCTTTTTTATCCAATGAAGCTATCCTTGTCCAGTGTTTTAAATGGTTGGTTTATCGTTAAATGTAAGTTAGCATCATATTTTTGATACCAACAGAATATATGCTCAATGCACAAAATGTATCAAATAAATATTAATTTAACTCGAAATCTAATATCATATCATCCCCAACTTCAATTTTGATGTAACTTTAATTTTACTTCCTTAATAAGTATATTTTACATAAATTACCACTGACTCAATTTAACCTCACGTTATTGGCAGCTATAATATTCTATTCACTCAAATCATATCTAATAACTGCAAACTCGTACCGTACCTGACTATTCAGACCTAAGACGAGGATCATGAAAAAGAACAGAATGGCCCACAGAGGTGACAAGGGCATTTCTGTTACGGCTTTAGGATAGGCAATAAACACCAAACCTGGACCTAACAAAACAGTGTTCACACAATACGTCAGTACATTATTAAGATAAGAAATTCGAAGAAAAATGTTTTTTTTTAAATTAAAATCGATTATTTTTACTCTGTAACAGAGAAAAAATATATTAGTCACTCAAAAAAGAAAAAAACACCTAAAAATGGCAAAATCCCTTCTTAAAGTAAAACAATGGATGTGGCGCCTATAAAATACAACATGAATACTATAGCACTTGGAGTAATGAATATCATTATCTGAACAAGTCTGTGTTTTAATAATGGGAATAATTTGTAATTATCCCTTGCTTTTTTTTTTAACAATAAGTGAGAAAAGAAGATTTGTTTTGCTCGGAACTTTCGAACTAATAGACATTCCTGAACTTCTCTATGGTTAAGTTGTTGATCGGAGATCCTATAATTCTTGACGAAGGACTCATGTAAGTTCTAAAAGGAGGAAGGCAAGATCAGGGCCAAAAGTCAACATCAGAGTTAGTATATATTCAAGTAGTAAGTCATTAACATACATAAGGTAACTGTAATTGAACACCAATTTCAGGTCAATGGGGTAACAGAAAAAAAAGCAGACGTTTACATTTTGTCCAGAGGTGTAGTTTGTTACGTATAAAAAGAATTTTGAACATGGAAATAAAATGATTATAAAAAGTCATTTTACATGCTTGACTACTCTAAGAAAGTTTCAAGTAGATTATGATTCTATTTTAATATTTTGTTTTTTTTGTGGTTAGATTTCTGAAAAAGGGAATTTACTGAGGAAAGCTACAAAAATATAACATTTCTTCATCTTTTTTCATTGTACCAAATTACACACTTTTGAGAATTCAGAAATGTTTAACAACAAAATATATTTGTACACTACTTCATGTTATATCAAAATATCTAAACTATACAATTTGAGAAGAGGATTGAAATACGTATTGCTGGCTGAATCAATAAATTCGATCAGCAATTCGATCATTTACTTTAATAAACTAAAAATTACTTTTTTATCGTTATTCAAAATCCCTGTGGGGTAGAAAATTTGCGCTATCCTGTAGTATTGTGAATACGATATAACAGGAGACAATCCTGAAACGTTTCCCGTTATTAGAAAGTTTCAACTCCAGAATGCTTGGTACAATAAATACTGCCACTTGTCTCTGTTCTTTCTTCGGAGTAAGACAATGAGATATTACACCGGACTAACAACATTTAAAATAAAAGCAAAAAAAGAAGAAAAAAAAACGTATTACCTGACTCAGCTATTTCTTGAATTTGTTTTCCTTGTTGATTTGCCATGAAACCCACGACAGAGAATATGGCAAAACCAGCATAAATACTTGTACAGCTGTTGCACAAAGCAATTACAATGCATTGCCTAAGAGAAAATATTGTAATCAGTCACGAAACTCACACATTAAATTTAAAAGAACACATAGTTTAACAAGTACATGATGTGATATGAGAAAGATAAAATGTTCTATTACTCCCAAAACAAAAAGAAAATGTGCCATCGAAGCTATCAACGGTAATAACACTGGTCCTCAGTTAGTCTTTTTATAATATATCTCAAACAAAACTCAATAGAATGGCTGAAACCTTGTTTTACTCTCATAAATGTTGATATTAGATTTTAAAAATGACTGATCCCAAAATTGCTATTTCAATCTCATAAGTACTAATAGTTAGAATAGATGACCTAAAATACCGCCTTGTTTTATTCTATCAGGTTCTACTCGTTAGCATAACGAGGCCATAAATTTGAATGGTAATTTTATCTCTTAAAATAACAAGATTCACAATTGCATCTTAATTTACTCTCTTAAAAACTATTCCTTAGGAAAATGCTCCCGCAATTGCATATTGTGTTCCTCTTTTAAATGCAACTCATTAGATTGATGAAAGTATTTTGATTTACCCAATAAAACATTAATTTTCACTCTAACTGGCCTGCACCTTGATAAACCCAAACAAACATTACTTTTCACAATAATCGGGCACTGAAATTCATATTGATTTACCTAATCAAACATTACTTTTCACACTAATTGAACATTGAAATGCATCTTGATCTCTTCTAAACTCATAATTTGGAAAGCTGGGCACAGAATTTTATTTTGTTTTACTTATTTAAAACATTACTCGTTAGAATACCTGGTCACAAACCTGCATCTTGTTACATACTCGTAAAGAGTAATTGTAAGAATATCTGGCCTCTAAATACACCTTAATTAACTCTCTCAAGCACGACTCATTAAAATATCTGAGCTATGAATGCATCTTGATTTATTCTCTTAAACAATACTTGTTAGGGTTAACAGGTTTACGAATTGCACTGTTTTTATTATTTTTTAAACACGGTTCACTTAAAAAAGTTTTCCAGAACTGCAGTCCAATTTATCCTCATAGATTCTGGTTACAGTAGCTGGTCATTAAATGAAAATGAAACTTGTTTAACTCTTTTAAACAGTATTTGTTTGAAGAACTAGGCCAAGAAATGTCTTTTGTTCTACTCTCTTCAACAACACTCAGAATATTTAGCTCACAAATAGATCTTGATACTGTCTTTAATACTTCTTATTAGAATAAATTGTCCCAGAATTTACTCGATAGAATAACTGTCACCTGAATTGCACCTTGTTTTACTCAGTTAAAAATATAATCGTTAGAAAAACGGGTCCCAGCTTTGCACCTTATTTTACTCTTTCATACACTAGTGACTATTCTTTAGAATAGTTAGACTTTAAATACACGTTGACTCACTTGCTTAATTAAACATAGCTCAGGAGAATAACTTGTTCCACATTTGCATGTTTCTGTACTTTCTTAAATAACTCTTTACAACAGCTCAAACCTGAATACAACTTGATTTGTTCCTTTAATTAACACCAGTTGTCAAAGTAACTAGTACCATAATTGTGTGGTACAGGAAAGTTCATGTGTTTTCTACTCTCTCAGATAATATTTCATTTTTCTCAAATGTTCCGTATGTTCTTTCAGTCCAGATTGGACATGGAAAGTCTTTCAAGTAACAAATTTTAACTTTGCTTCTTGCTACCTCTGTCTTGGACCTCATCTGCTAATTGAAAATTTAGTCAAGATTCACGCAGGTAAGATAGCACACAACGTTTTATTTTTGTTAGCGATTTGGGTAATGGCCCTCGGGCTTCTCTACACAAACGCGCTTAAGAATGAGAGGACAAAGGACATGTACAGAAGAGACTTATGGGTTCAAACCTGGCTTAAATTGTTATCGTATGTTTTATTTTCAAAGCCAGGTTCTCCTTCGTTTAGGATATTTTAGGAAGATTTTGCTGAACTTTTAAACCTAGACATGAAATGGAACTTTAATATTACTTTTGACATTGAATATATAATACAATTGAACTAGATATTAAAAAAAGATTATTCACTTTACTTTCCTTCAGAGCTTTTGTGAGCTTTCACTTTTATTATAACTTTAACCCTCTGTGCACAAATAGGTCAAAGTGTACAAAGTTAAGTTCAAAACTTCATTAAGCTACTTTATTTTCAATGTATGACAATACACTTAGCATTAAAACATAGTTTATAATTTAAAGCTTAATATTATATAAATTTTAATTGCTTAATTTCAAAAGAAGATATTTAAATAAATTCTCAATCTTCACTTGTTTGTGCCTACCGGCAAGACTTTTTGCTTTTCAGAGATTTTTTGTTTGTTTGTTTGAAGTTATGCACAAAGCTACACAATGGGCTATCTTGCTTTGCCCACCACGGGTATCGAAATCTGGTTTCTAGCGTTGTACGTCCGCAGACATACCGCTATGCCACTGGAGGGGGGGGGGGCTTTACAGAGATATAAGCAATAAAGTGAAGGTCACATGTTATACCCCTTGCATAACATCTTGCTTTCACAAACTGTCATAAATTCTCTCTGAAAATTTTCATTGGATTATTTGAAACCAATAGAAAACGAATATTTCAATTTATTGAGAGCTATGGGGCCTTAAGCCCTTTAAATGAGCAGATTTGAACATTTTGGCCTTGTTTTCTTTGCTTGCCGTCGTTGGAGTTTCGCATGACCAGATATTGGAATTCTTTAAGCCCCTTTTAGCTTAGTTAGAAAGCCAGAGAGTTATATTACTTTTAGAACATTCTATTTTATACGTGTGTCAATATTTCGTATTCTAAGTTGCATATTTGAATTTAAAAAACAAAATAATTCTGAGATCACATTGTCGTTACTGAGAGTTATTGCTCATCTTTGTCGTCGACTTTTAGCGCATGAGTTCAAAAGCTTGAAAAAGACAATATTTCATATGTAAGTACTAAATTTCTTGGGTCTTGTGTATATTTTTTTTTCTATTGTTGTAAAGTAACTAAAAAGTAATAATTAGAAACTTTTCGGATTAGTTAAAAAAATTTAAATGAAATTAAATACACAAAATACTCGTGATTAATGACAGCGCTCGCCAGGCGCGAACACTGTTGTGCAACTCTAAAGAAATAAAACTAAATGAAAAAAATATTAGGTTTGGCTGTAAAAATAAATAGTATTTAGTTCTCTGTTACAATGTGCAGTCATTCTAAAAAAAAAGAAGGGTAATTTATATTTCATACTTTTTTATGTGGTGGTTTGTTTTATAACAAAGCCCTGTTGGGCTATCTGCTGTGTCTACCGTGGGGGAATCGAACCTACGATTTTGGCGTTGCAAAACCGTACACTTAAATTTGTTTCATTCAGGGACGATGTGGTGGTTGCGAGATTGAGAAAGTGTATGGAGTCCATATATAGTGTTACGATAGAGAGAATAATAGATAAAATATAAAGTTTACTTTAAAAACTTTGATATTTATTTATGAGGTAATAGAGATTATGTATACGAAATTTGAAAATTGTAAAATGAAATAAAGTATTTCAATTTGAACATGAAAATCACTTTAAAGTCAGACTTGACAGAGTCTGAGTCAGGCTCCATAAATATAAAAATACTTAATAAAAAAAATCATATTTTTGTTGTGTACAAAAGACATTAAAAGTTGTAGTATCTATAGTCTTATGGTCACAAGGTCATCCAAAATTATTTATCTTGGACCCTACCCAATGCTAGAGGGTTAACTTTGTTCTAGAGGTTTAATAGAGTATTTTATTTCTACCTCATGGTGCAAGGCATCTTTGTATCTAAATTTAACTTTGGGTATAACTTAAATATTACAATTTGTAGTTTACCCTACGGGAGAGGGGGGGGGGGAGGCTGGACACGTGAAAAAAAGCGCAAAAAAAAGAAGTTTTAACTCCATTCTTTCACTCACCAGCCCAGCATAGCCACAACAGACCATCTTGCTACTGTTTCATTTTGTTTTTTCTTGTGATGATAACAATGTCTGTGATTTAGTTGTGTGCTAATAAAGATTATTCTCGTTCAGCATCTCTGATCCGTCGCTTTCTTCCTGATGAATTCAGTTAGAAATCAAAGAGATAAACAGACCCTGTAACTCGGTATTCTTTAATCCTCTAGTTAATAGTCCAAACTGACTATTTTGACGGAGATCTGCAAGCCGAGAAATTCCACAGGATAGTAAAGAAGATAAAATGTTGGTGCCTTGACCAAATAATATCATTGTTATGGAGGTATGTGTGGTCTCTGAGAATGTGACTGGATATAGTTGTACACTAAGAATAAGTGAAGATGGCTTTCTCGTCGGGAACACAGATGTATGGTCTGGAGGGGATGAGTCTAGAATTAAGGCAGAATGGCTTGTAGAAAGAGTAGCTAGATCCGTGAAAGTTCTTTCCTTTTGCCAGTGCAACAGAAGAACATCAAAGCCGCGAGCTTGAGATGTAGAAAAAGGTCTATGTAGATCATCCAGAAGGTTTATGAAGTTCTCACCTAGACAGTATAGGTGACCAAATGACTGAGGGTTTTCAGAGTGACATGTCATCCCAAGGAGAAAGACAAGACCTGCCAGTAAGTGAGATGGTAGACACTGTAAAAGGATACCAAGAAAGAACGGTAGCATGTTGCAAGCCTTTGAATCAGAGATGTGGTGCCATTGGCTGGTGAAAGCTGCCAACAGGAGATGACCTACTACCAGGTAGGATAAAGAGTCCTTGCCGATGACCACGATCTGTGGAGCAATAGAGATCCTTCCAGAAATCGGAGGAAAGGGGCTAAGGTCATTATGGGTCATATGCCAAACAGGTAGTTTGCAATGCAGGTAAATGATATATGTTCAGCAACTCAGTGAAATTCAGTTCCAGGGATTGTAGTTGATGCTTGACAGAGCATATGGCTTGTGGAATTTGCCTACCTGACAATTTCATCACTGTATGGAATTCTCTAGCCTGGGGTGGACCACAGGTCTACCACGAAGAAACCCACATTGAAACCACGTGAACCCTTAGTAAAAGTGAAGCAAACCTCTCCCCCATGTCCTGGAATATTCCAGACAGTCTACCACCTGAAGTCAGCAGATTCATGAACAGGCAGTGCTATGTCTGATGACGAATCTGCCCGACCCAAAGCTTGACTTGATCGAGTTGTCAATGAGGAGGGACAGATCAATTACAAGACAGCTGAGACAATAATGTTGGTTGAAAAAGTAATGGAGCAAACACCACCTTTTCAGTGATAGTGTGACAAAATTTGTGGGTCGCATTTTGTGACTTCCACTCAATCAACACAACTAAAATGGTCATGTAGTTGAAAGGTTATTGACATAGCATTCCTTATCTTCTGAGCCATAGGATACAATGTATGCCTTACGCTGTATGTTTTCTACTCAATTACCACTGTTGTTGGTCGAGAAACTGACAATAGAAAGGGCTTTGCAGCCCTTGCTTTACGTTCTCTCGTGCGATTTTCCATTGCAAAATAGCAGTCCAACATTTCATGAAAATTACTCATCCTTATCTGAGTTGCAATGTTTTCTCAAACCAACTATAGGGTTCTCAAAGACACTGTTACATTTAAGTGTGTACAACCCCTCCATATGCAGAGAGGGAGATGTGTTCTCTACAAATGAAGGTGGAAAATTGGATGACGTTTCAGTGGAACAGGTTTTATATATTTACTCTTTTATATGTACTTGTATTTATTGTATATATGTGAAGTATTGTCTATTGTGTATTAACACAAACCAAAAAATATTCATACTGACAACACCCAGTACAAATCAAAATACTCTTTAAACTTCAACTTAACCAAGTACACTCAAGCTAAATTGTTCACATAAAATACTTTGCATATACATATATTACAATACAAGAACATGTCAATTGCCCTATGAATAAGTTAAACACGTACAAATATACATGTATTTACAAAGTAATTTAAATTCATACAAAGATAAACCATTTAAAGAGAAATGCAGGTTATGAAACAGAACCCTTTATTCAAGACAACACTACAATACAATTACAAGTAAAACTTATATGTGAACATTCTGTTCATTTGTTTAGTTTGTTTGTTTGTTTTTGTGAAATTCAATATACAGTCCGTCGGCTGTCCGCATAGCGGTTGTTGAGGAACAGTGTGCTAGACTGTCCTCTCTTAATGTAAACAGGGGGAATGTGATGTGTAGTCGTGTTTTGTAGTATTGTTGGACAAGTGGTTTTGCCAGAATTAGGGAAGGCAGGGTCATCGTAGAGATAAAGAAAGAAGGAAATGTGGTACAGGACGGTACCATGCGTTTTCTATTCTCTTTTTTTAATTAGACTGATACAAAACATGGGATTAACATATTTCTCACTACTTACTTGTAAAAGTTGTTGTGAAAGCTGTTGTAACTGCCAAGGGCTATCATACTCCCCAAAGAAATGCCGAAGGAGAAAAAAATCTGTGTCCCAGCGTCAATCCAAACCTAAAGACAAAAATATACGACATTTCTAGATCCAAAAGAAAGAAAGCAATTCTTATTAACAATTAATGTTTAACAATCACAGCATACTAGCTTAGAAATGTTAAATACCTCTCCATCCAACAAGCGAGAGAAGTCAGGATACAGAAAATAAATTATTCCCTCCTTAGCACCAGGAAGGGTAACTCCTCTAATAAATAGTATTGTCAGCATAACGTAAGGAAACAATGCTGTGAAGTACGCCACCTGTAATTCATGTCAATATTGTTATTATGATTTTCAATAATGGAAAAAAACTTCATTACGCAGGTTAATTAGTTTTAAATTCCTTTTAATTTTAATATAGTGCAATATGCATCATAGAAAATTGAATAGACTATTTTATTTAGATCAATAAACTTAGCACTATATGTTGCCTCATTTCTAAAGTAAATAAAAAAATCAAAATTTTGATTATCGATTTTACGTAAATATGTATTACCAACAACTTGTGATTAAAAGGAATTTAACAACACAGAACAAAACTAAAAGACAACTTTAAGCTTAATAAGGCAATTGTATATAAAAACGGATTAGTAGTACAAATGTTGTAAATCAATATACAAGAAAATTATAATTTATAAGGCTTGAAAGTAATATATATATCACATTTTGGACTGTTTGGTATTATTTAAAATAATAACTATTTTAACTGTACATATATATTCTCAGAACCATTCATTTCATCTAAAACTGAGAGCACGTTTGCTGATCTAATAGCTATTTAGTTGTACTTATAATGAGATTAAAATAACATTTTTACTTAATAAATTAATATCTTAAACGAAACTTTACCTTTCCTGTAGATTTTACACTTTTCCATATGCAAAAATAGCAGAGAATCCACACCAACAAAAGACACAGAGCCAAGTCCCACTTTATAGTTCCCGGCTCATCAATGCCATTTGAGATTTTCAGAATCTTTCGTCTGTAAAGATAAAGTTACGAACATGAAAAGAAAAAAGAAACAATAGTAAGGCATGAACACATACAAAAAACAAAGGTAAATTTAATAAACGAAGATATAAAGGAAAAGACAAGTAGAAACGACAGTAAAAAAAATGATCACACACACACACTCAAATTCCAACTAATATTTAAATACACCACATTTTATCTCGTTCTGGTTTAAGTTAGATCTAGATTTAAAAAGTGATAGTTACACTTTTAGATAGATAGATAGAAAAATAATGTTAAATTAATATCAGAAAAATGCCTTTTTGTAGCCCAAAAGACTTTGCACAAAACTATCGAGGTTCTCATTCAAGAAAATGGGAGTTCTCGGCAAGTCTTGAAAATTGTATTAAGGCCCTTAGTGTGGAGAAACAATTAATAATACATTACAGCCGTGTTTCAGATGAAACATTCCAGAGAGCCGCTAGATGTAAAAATATAATTTAGTTTTCTCAGTCAGAAGAAAGTTTTACGTATGAATCACTGGCGTCTCCAGATGTGCCTATTACTAACGTTTTTTGTTTTTAAACACACGTCATCTTTCTTCATAACATGAGAATAAACTGTGGTAATCAAATAATAATGTATATTAACAACTTCGGTCTTGATAATACCCCTTGCATAGTTCACGTAAACCCACGAGAGGTTTTGCGTGAATTCTTAATTGTTCTGATGCTTTATGATGGGAATTACTTGTACTTGCTCTTTGTTTTCTGGCAGTCTCATTCCCAATAGAAGGTCTTCATCGACAATCAGAAGGAATGAGACTGCCAGAAAAATAGGTACCGTATGGTGTAGATCGAGAAAGAAAACGAAAAGAGTCTTTCTCTTTTCTACCTCCTGCGAGGCAGCCGGTCTCTACCTGAGGGGTCTGTGCCTCTCGGTGAAAACCGTGAGATTATCACCTAATACTCAACTCAACTTTTTGGTGTCTGACGAAGAATGTATGTAATTTCTCTTTTAGTAACACTTAAAAAAAAGTCAATGAGAACCAAGTTCTTCAACCTTTTTTTGTATGTGTGTGTGGTTAGCCAGGCTTACTCAAAACGAAAGAAAACACTTATTTATTAACTTTATCACATTCTACTAGATTTATATCAATATCTGTTTCATAGAATATATATAAAACATGTATACTTGGTCGATTTAGAACAAGATTTTAAAACACGCAAAAGAAAACTTTACGTTTCTACATCAGTCGAACATATTTTAAATTAAAATACCTGAAAAAATATAACTTCTTTCTTTAAGATGTCTAGTCTAGCACTTCATCCATAGTTATCACATACTATAGAGTTAAAGTTCACAAAGTACTATTTTAAAACAAGTAATTATTTTTGACTGATAGCCAAAACATACAAAACAAGAGAGAAATTGTAGGAAAAGTAAATCTAAACTAAGGTCAAGAAAATGTGAAACAATGCCTCCTGTGGATGTGGTGCTATTGTAAAATTCTGTAAAAGTACGAATCTTTTTTCAAACCAAAAATGTATCATTACTTACCGTTTTAGAAATGCAATCAATAAACGAGCAACAAAAATGTTTTTATCTGCTACTGGAAACAATGGAACTGTTTCTGAGTAATTTGATGATGCTGATTCTAAAAATCATGTTGAAAATTACTGATCTCTAGTTTTCGAGTTTTGATAGATTTAGATCATTTAGCTCTTCTTGTGTGATCAGATGAGGAAATTTATGTTGAGGTATAGAATTACTAGATGAAGAGGATGAAGATGATTCATTATTTTCTTCACGGGATAACTCTGTTTCCCAATTCGCTGATAAATGTGGCACTTGTTTCATTGCAGATGCAATGATATAGGATATTTAATGTATTGCTTAGTTTTGTCTGAATATCCAGAAACATTAGTCATGCAAAATAACAGTCAGTTAGATTATTTTTGGGCCCATGCCATATCATGGGAACTGCAAGTGGCATACTTGCTCTCTTCTGTATATTCAGCTATTGTGTTAAGCCAGATGTCCAAACTGTACAACATACGTGTGATGTGAAGCTCAATGTTTTTTTCTTTTGTCACCAATTTTACACCCAAGATAGTGGAAGTAAGCTACATTTACTTTGTGTGTGATGTATTTCCTTCATGAAACTGTAATATATTTTACACAAATGTAGCAGAAACTATTTGGGTGATTTTGGCACTTTTGGACTTTATTTGACTGGAGGCAGCCAGCATTTCAAATGATTTTTTAAAAAACATATATGCATTCATGTTTAAAGAACTAGAGTTTAAAAGATTTTAAAAACAAAGTTTTGCAGAATTTGATTATATCTAGGGTATGATGCAGGAAAGGAAATCGGACTTTGTTTTGACTCTGCGCGGAGCGAGGCGAAGTGACCAACTGAGTGAGTGAGAAGCAAATGAGAGAGAGACGTCTAACTCCGCCCCTTTTATGTTCAGTCGAGGATTTCGTCATTCCCGGGTGGAGCAGGTGAGCGTGGAAATGAAGCAAAAGTGGTCCAATTCACTACTGTTATATTGAGAATAAATAGCATATATGAGCAATGTATTTGGAATTTTACACCAATACAAATACAATCAATGTTTAAAGTTATCAAAAATGCACCTTTTTTACCCATTAAACTGTTCAAATAAACTTAATTCCACAGCATAAATCTATTGTACTGAGTTGATTGCGTGGCGTTTCATATGGTGCTGATAAAATATTGTGATATTACAATAACTCAAAATCTAGAGGTGATGGACAAGTTCTGACTACATTTTGAAATCAGCACGATCAAATTACCGCGAATCACTTGAGTCTTTTCCAGTAGCAAATTTTCTGCTGTCCAGTGTAATGCATTCCCTATGATTAGCATATCTAAGATAATTCAAGTGTATATATATATATATATACATATATTTAAGAGTATAACTTGTGCTTAGAGTAAATAGCGAAGTTCTATTCTGTACTTGTAAAACAAACAAAAAACAACCCTATTAATAATAGACAGTATGCCATCACGGCAATGTACTCTTTCGAGAAATCATTGTTACTTTGAAAATCATTACCAATTATACTTGGTGTAATGAAATGATAATCTTAGCCTACGAAAACTTGAATAATGCGTTAAGGAAATGAATGCTGAAATCCAACGAAAAATATAAACAGATTAAGTAGTTATTTGGGTATGATTGATAAAACATAAAGGAGAGAGGCTCGAAGAGTTAGTGATGATTACAATAAAAACATGAACGCCACCTACATTAATGTGACTATTTGTTTTTCTTTCTTGTGTAAAAACAGTTTCGAAAAGGAATAGCGTGAACGTAAATAAGCAAGCTTTATCCAAGAAATCAAGTACTCATTATAGGTGAACAAATAATGTGAAAAGTTAAGAAAAATGGAGAATAAGAATATACAGTGTGAGTCCCCCCTTTCCAAACAAAAAAACAAACTAGTAGAGTCAATAAAGAAACTATTTCTTTGTTGCGGCGAGCCAGACTTGAGGGATGATGTGATCTAACCTAAAACCTGATACTTTCATTGTCAAGCAATGGTATAAAGCATATAGTAAATAAAAACACATTGAAGGCGTATTATAAAAACATGAACTCGAATGCACATGTTTTACACGTTTTATGATTTGAATCTCAAGAAATAAACTCGCATTTTGTGCATGATCTATTTTTCTTACTATTAGTTGCCGCCCAGCGGTATGTCTGCAGACTTACAACGCTAGAAACCGGGTTTCGATACCCGCGGTGAGTAGAGTACAGATATCCCATTGTGTAGCTTTGTTCTTAACTTCAAACAAACTCAAATACTATGAGTTCATTTCTTCTGCAAAAAATCACAAGTAACACTTCGACATATGATATTGATAGGCTTTCATAAAGTCATTAAGGAATTAAAAACAACAAATAAATTAGTATGTAAAGTGAAACATAAAGCTTGGAACATGTAACAAAAACTCTTTATGGCTACCCAGTAGTGTCAGCATTCACCATCTTTGCGCTAAGTCTATGATAGAAACTGTCACCTAGTGGAACTTTATGTGGCTTTCGAAATAAAAGTGTATAAATGTTTCGTTTGTTATGTTTTCACGCATTAGAGGGTTATTACAGGGATATCTGCACTAGCCGTCCCTAATTTAGAAGTAATTGACAGAGAAGGCAGATATTATTCAACATCACTCACTGCCAACTCTTGGGCTACTCTTTACCAACGAATAGTGGGATTGGTTATCAAGTTATAAAGTAATTACATCAAACCAAATTTGGGTCTCTGCTGTGTCTTACGCGAGGAATGGAACTCCGGATTTTAGCGTTGTAGGTCCATAGACTTACCACTGTGCCATCGGAGAACAAACGTTAAGCGAGCCGCTTAGAACTGTCAACATTTAATCATTAGACAATTTTACTTGTTCAGAAAATTATGAGTGATTAACCTGTGACTTCAAACAAAATACAAACGGAGAAAACTTTTGATTTAGTTTTATAAGGTGAAAGTGAAAATCAACTTACTTACTAGTTTTTCCTATTATTCGCTAGTTTAAAAAAATACTAGCTTTGGTTTAAGAGAAAAATAGTTTAGGTTACAGAAGATTTGTTTGTTTGAAGTTAAGCACAAAGCTACACAATGGACTATCTGTGCTCTGCCAACCACGGGTATCGAAACCCAGTTTCTACCGTTGTAAGTCCGCAAACATGCCGCTGTGCTACTGGGGGGCATTTTACAGAAGAGACAAACGTATAACAATGTGATATGTCTAACCAGGATATTGGGAAATTTACGGTTTGGGTGTTATTCAAATTTTTTATCTGAGTTTCTTCTCAATCATTTACTCTCACAATCGATATCACTAGTAAATCTAAATACATGATGCTTACTTAATTAATGTCAATTTGTCTATTGTTGTTGTTTTTACTTTAAAATGCGACATTTGTGTTGTCTTTCTAAATTCGGTTGATTTTGGGGAACGTCACTCCTAAGCTAGATTAAAGTCATTCATTTCCCATTTAGTTCTTTGAATGTAAAACATCTTTCTATTGTTTCCAGTGTTTGTGTGTTTCCTCATTGATAGATACTTTAATTGCTGCAGAGGCTTAGAGAACAGATACCAAGTGCATCCGGAATCCCACTGCTGTTTACGAAGTTTTCTTTATATAAGAATTAATTATCAGAAATTGGCAGAATCTTGTGCATATTAGGGTACAGAAAAAAAGCACTAAAACCATTGCATGTACTTCCAGTTGTATGTTTTATTATTTTCATCAAAGGTAATTACTCCCAGAACTCCACAACTGCGTCCACTGTTTTGCGTGTTCCATCAGTTGTGTGGGTGTTTTGTTGAAGAACAATAGCAGGAACAGACACGTTGGAAGAAGTTGGATTAGGTGTTCCATTCCAACAGTTCTCAGTGTTCCATTCGTTGTTACACGAAACCCACGGTAACACTGACGTAAATGAATGAAACAGGTACAGAACAGTCCAGCTCAAAACGATAATATAATAGGTATTGAGGAAGAAACAGATCACAGATGTTCCATATCCGATACCTAGAGAAAAGAACAACTATATAAACAATATTTTATCTTCAAGTTGAAAATATCGTAGAAAGAGAAAATATGTCAGCATACTTAAGGGACGTTTTAGGAACTAATAATACGAAAATGCAATATCGTATGTATCATTTACTGTGGACTTTCATTAAATAGCAACTAAAAAATTTTAGTACATTGTATTATAGTTCATAGTTTTTAAAATTATCATATCAAAACTAAGAATAATGTTTTAAAAAAAATAATGTGTAAAATAATAATGCACAGTTGTGCGGGTTTTTTCAGAGAGCAGATGCCGCAAACTTTTTCTTTTCAGTTTGTTTGTTTGTTTGTAATTAAGCACAAACCTACACAATGGGCTATCTGTGCTCTGTCCACCACAGGTATCGAAATCCGGATTCTAGCGTTGTAAGTCCGCAGACATACCGCTGAAAAAAGAGCGTCATAAAACCAAGCAGAGGAAAAAGAACAAATTAAAAATATAGAAATTTAAAAATAGAATATACCAATTTTTGGTTTATTAATAAAGAATAACAAAATAATCAATCACATCTGTAGTTCAGCTTTAGAAATAATTCAGTGTTGGGTTAATAACCTATAATATTTAAGAGAAATCATCATATACAAAAACTATAAGTTATAAACATAAAAAGGCCAGCATAACAAATAATTAAAACAACAACAATAAACGTTATAAGCAAACGCCTAAATCTACTATTGTTAGATACCACGATATATCTAAAGTAAAATTAGTTTAAGATTTCACTCAAACTATCTTGAGTAGAGAAAGAAGAAATCAAAATATTTTCAATAACATTGGTTTTGTAGACTTTAGTTGATGATGCAACCAAAGATTATAAGACATGTAATAAATATATTTCATTACTCAGTCAGTTGGGTATTATTATCGTTGTCAGTTTGTAATCAAGCACAAAGCTACACAAAGGGCTATCTGTGTCATGCCAACCACGAGTATCGAAACCCGCTTTCTAGCATTGTAAGTCCGCAGATACACCGTTGTGCCACTGGGGAGCTCTTATCGTAGTTTAAGAGGTTTCTGACCATGAATCTAACTTACATAGACAGCCCAGCCTACGAGATTTAAATTAGGTCTAATCTAATTTGCCAAGTATTAATAGAAAACAGTCCCGCTAAAATTAAATTATACAAACAGTTTAAATATACATCATATAATAAAAATATTAAAATATTAAAAAAAAATGCTTAAGAAAAAACTAACGTTAGCAACGATAGAACCGGAATGAAAAAAATGTCTGATAGTGGGTTGTGGAAAAAAAATGAAATATTGATTAGGAAATTAAATGAACAGAACGAAAGACTACTGTATAAATTTTTCATTTTTACCTAAAATGATTAAGTCAACATTATATACATTTTAGATTTTAGGAAAATGTTAAACAATGAGAGATAAAGGATGAATCTATATATGTGTGTTGTTATTCACCTTTAAAGAGAGGACAGAGATCCCACACGGTTATTCCTCCCTGACTGAAGTACTGACCCAAGGCTATCTCCATTAAGAAGACTGGTATTCCTCCAGTAAGTAGGCAGATACAATAAGGAACCAAGAAAGCACCTATAGAAAATATTGCAATGTAAGCTGCATTTTCGGAAGATATAACAATGTAACTTGTACCTACAGAAAATATTACACTGTAAATTTCGTCTACAAAAAGTATTACATAATTATTATAATACACGTTAGTAGTTATCAGAACACTTCAGACATAGTGCGCTGATTGGCTACCTCAGATGATAGGGGCGGGGCTAGACGAAGGCCTCATAGTGTCACGAAGTGGCACCAGAGGGCGCGTTTCCAGGATTATTCCCATTAAATCATGGTTTGAGTGTTATTCATCATAGGGTATATTGCTAGAGGATGGAAGTGGGTGTGACATCATAGTTATAGTGTTACTCACCAAAAGTTGTGTCGCTATAGGTGGATGCTGTCACTTGGCAGACAATGTTTCTATTAGTGGATGCTGTTGCCATGGTTTTATAGGTGGATGATATAACTAAAATCAGTACTCCTATATTACTAGGGATAGTTTTACTGTAGCTGAATAGTTCAGTATGATGATAAGCTCACCATAAGATGTCTCAACACATCTAACATGTGAACCTTTTATCACTTCTATATTTTATATTTATCATACCTACTGTCTAGCTTTTATGATCTAAACAATGAGACGATTGTATTTTTAAGTATCGATTGCTGTTTAACATACATCATCAACATTGTAGTCTATAAATACTTATATGTCCTAAAAGTTACAAGTAAATCTATTAACTGAATGAGATAGTTAATATATCTTATTGTTTCAGATAGTATGCAGTGTATTACATATGCCAAGTAAAAAAAGTTTTTATCACACATAATATCTTAATTTTTCCATTATTTGAACAAGGCAAATATTATGGCATACCCAATAATTTACCTTACATACTTTTACAATTAGATGTCACTTGACATAACATACAATTATCTTTCCTGAAAAGGTTTAGTCACACCCAATGTTTCGCTTCTATAAATAAAACCATTATTTGAATAATTAAGTTACATTAATGTTCCATAATTTATTGTGTTTTTTTATTAATTTAAGTATTGATGTAGTAAATATTTAATGTACTGTAGTTTCTGATTACAGTTTTTGCTTCTATATTTAATTTGAATGACACTTTTTGCCTTTTCTGATGCTTTATATGTAAAACACTTATCACCAATTCATTTATTTACATTTCTATAATTAATATAATGTATAACATACTTTTATATCTATTTGCCCTGAAAAGGACGCTTATTGAAATATCTAAGTAATATAAAATAATTTCATGTTTAGTTTTATGAGTTGATTTGTTTTACTAAAGTTTAGTTTTAAAGGAACTACGTAAATAATCATGTTTAACCATTACTATTGTAGAAAATTATAATCTTACCATTGTGTAGAAATTTTCACATATCTTTGTTTAGAGCTTGTTTCTTGATTTGGAACTTTACACATAATGCTGACTAAAACTATTTACATATAGGTGTTCTTCAAAAACAGACCAAAAGCTTGATAAACTCTGGTTTTAGGAATAGGAGTAAATTGTTCAAAAAGGAATATATACTATTTTTTTCTGTCGAACTTTTCATTTCGAAAAAAAAGAGCATATACCAGACACTAACTAACATGCGCAAACAGTGACTCAGTGGCAATTTCATTCTGACTCATAACGGGCTGATCTCATGTTAGCATGTGACCCCTATGGCTTTTGACACAGCCTAACTGGTTAAAATATATTGAGTGAACTGTTTTAGCATAAATAGCATATTATAATCTTACTCTATACTGATTCTAATGAATATCAGTTTAAATATTTGTTGACAAATCAGAAATTCTATTTCAGTAACTTTTTAAGTTTTCACTTTATGTATACTATAACATTTAATCATATTAGTTTACCAAAGAATTAGGTAACCAATTAAAGACACAATAGTCTGTTGCTGCCTGCTACTATCTCAGTGTCATGGTTAAGCCTACAATTGGACAGTGCAGCTAACATAATGAGCCATCTACATGGAGTAGAAACACAACTGACGGCTAAAAATCCTGATGCCATCAAGGTTCAGTGTTTTGCACACTGTTTAAACTAGTATCTTCAGGATGCAGCCACGACAAGTGTGATTGTGAGAGATTCACTTGGTTTGATCGTGGAGATTAAGTGCCACCTCATCTTTGCTTCTATGTCAATGTATAGCCATCAGAGGATATATACAAATGGAGAATAATCTGAGACAGCTGTTGAACCTCATATTAGAGGACGACTCTCCTAAACTGAAAGACTGGATTATTAATAGAGAGTACACATCACCTGACATTATGAATGAATGCATCATACTAATAGGCCATAGAGTTATACTGGGCATATTGCAGAACATCCAGGAGATAAATACTTTGTCACTCTTTCAGAATAAATAAGGGACAATGACAACTACGAGCAGTTGGCAATATACATACATTAGGTGGATCAAGACTTCATCATTCATGTAGACCTGATTGTAATGGTATTTGTTGACAACACTGATGATACCTCATTGACCATGGTAACTAAAGACACACTAATCTGATGCTGCTGCCACTGCCTCAGTTAGTTTAATTTAATTACAGTAGAAACACAAGCTGAGGGATGAAAATCCCGCTGCCATCAAGGTTCATTATTTTGTACACTGTTTAAACTAGTGTTTTCAGGATTCAGCCATGACCTGTATGATTGTGAAAACTCACTTAATCTGGTCAAATGATTTACAAGTCACTGAAGTGGCAACTCATTTTTGCTAACATGAAGTGGGAACTGTCACCCTCTGCCCAACAAGATCGACTGTTCACACACACACATTCCAATCTGCACTTGATAACTATGATGCACAGATCCAGACTTCCACTGAAGGTAACAAAATCTCTTACAATAATTATGAAAGGCATGAAGGAGGTGTATTCGTGCAGATGGAAATATTTGACACCTTGTTTGGTATAAAACTGTGTCACTTGATCTTTGGTGCCACTGAGCAAGTGTCATGTGCACTGAAAAGATAAGACATAACTGTAAAGGAAGGGATCAACTAAGCATAGCTTGAAAAGCATTTCATGCTGAAGACATTGGGGTGATACCTGCTTAAAGCATTTCCTTGAAATAGTCACAGAAGAAGCAGAGGACCACACCAGCGAGCTCTGTATTCCCTGTCAAAGATTTCTGCTCAGAATATTAGATTCAAGGTCAGATTCTAACGTGTTCCACTCGTCTGTAGATTACTACAGAAAGATCTATTATAAAGTTTTGAGTTTATATCTCTATTTGAAAACTCCAGGTAGAATTTATCTTTTTTCAATAAGGTCATAAGTACATGTAAAGTGATTTACAGAAGACAGTACTTGAGTATATCATAGTAATACATTTTGTAATCAATTCTGTTGACTAATACTTTAAAAAAAATTATACATAAATTTCAGCATCTTGTAAAATATTTGTAATTTCAACTACTTAGAAGTAAAAATAAAATATGATAAAAATAAAGGTTTTGTTGGAAAGACCCAACACACATGCTCATCTATGCAACTGCAATACACAATTCAGTCCCCTGAGCTTGAGGTTCGTTATATATGATGCCTATGGTTTGGAGTTTGGTTTACATGAAATTCTGGTTTTGAATTTTTTTTTCATAGTATATTACTCAAACGAGTTTCATCTGTAGGAAATATTACCATACCCCTAGCACCTGCAGAATATTTTGCCATACCTTCACCTACACAAAATACTATGTGGATTAAAGCTATAGAAAATATTATCTTGTAAATTACACTTATAGATAATAGATATTGCTTTAATGTAAATTGTGCCTACAGAATATGTTATGTATGTTTCACCTAAATACTCCCCCACACACACACTTATACATGCACTAGCTCAGTGGTAAGTCTGCAAGCTTATAACGCTGAAAGTCGGGTATCGATACCCACAATGGGCAGAGAACAAATAGCCCATTGGGTAGCATTGTGCTTAACTACAAAAACTCAAAATCACCTAAACACAATATTATCTTCTAAGACAGATAATATTATGTAAGTTGCGTTTCCAAAAAATTTCGAGTTTATTAGTATTTTATTTTTTCTTTGTTCCATAATTTTTCTACTTTCAAAATAGCCACAAAACACTTAATCAATAAAGTATGATCTGGAAATTTCATGTGTAAGGCCACTGTTTCACTTAGACCTGTGAAATTATGTTCTTACATTCAGGTTGCTTCGTTTTTGTTTTGCTCTGAAGTTAACATTTATGGACTGCAAGTTAATCAATGAACAACAATTCCACAACGAATAAAGTTTTTACATCGAGTGTTTCTACACCTAGTCAAAGTAAATGTTGACTCTGTTAACAGGGAAATTAAATTCTTTATCTAATAATTATTTAATTAACAATATATTTTATGCACTAATATATTACAAATATATATCTATACATTAACATTTTCATTGATAAATTATTATTTTTAGTTGTCTTAGAAGCAAGTACTGAACATGAAACAATGTAATGTGTCATGTAAGTCTTAACGATAAGTTACCAAGTCTTTACATCAAAAGTGTTTTTTATTAAGCACAAAGCTACATAATGGACTATCTGTGCTGTGCCAACCACGAATATTGAAACCCGAATATTAAACACAAATATTTTAGCTTTATGGGCTTTCAGACTGAGCTAATGGGGGGTTACATCGAATGATTGGTTACCTAATCAAATTAAATGTTACCTTTGTTATTCGGTCAATTACATGTCTTATTTAGCTATTACTACATTAACATTGTATTTTAGGCACTTGCATATTACAGCTATATGTCTATATTAGCTTTTACACAAATGAACCCAGCTGGTTATAAAAGGTCAAAGATCATACGTACATTTAACAAGCTTCAATCATACTTTTGTTATTTTAAAGATATGTCTCCTTTTCTAAAGGTAATTCTACTTTGGATGCTAGCATGCACCTGGAAAATTTATTTGAAAAAAAATTATATAGAGATTAACGTTACACAAAGTAGCACCTTGATAGAGATTTTAACAAATCTATACCATGAGCCTTTAAGTCTCTCTCTCATGGTTCAGTTGCCTAAAAAGGTCTTTCAGGTTGTTAGCTAGCTCTCTCTTTTGATTTTTTTATTTCATTCCACAATATTTACTGAATGATGCCCTGTGGGAAAATAGCATTTATTTTATTGAGTTTTATGAAGTAAAGTAAAAACATATGAAGCGATTTGTTTCATTTGTCTGAATTGCCAAATGGGATGTAGACTCCGATTACCTGATGTTACCCAGTATCCTCAATATTTGCAAAAAATTACATCATGGTATTCTGGCATTTTGGAAACACTTCACAGGAGTCAAAATGGTTCTAATTAGTTCTTTTTTTAAATATTAACACAAAAAAAACATAGACAATAAAATCTAATATTGTATATCTCTAATTTAGGACTAATGTTCTAAAATGTCGAGATAATCAGTCTAAAATTGTATTAAAATAGAAAATATAAAAAGTGTAAGTCTAAAGACACATTATATAAAGAACCTTTTAAGCATAGATGCATTAGAAGCTCTAAGGTAGCTAAACTCTGTCATTGATCTCACGATCAAACTGAATTTATATAGCCGAAAATTACAGTTATCGTTTACTCACATCACAAAACAGCTTATCATCTCCACGGTAATAAAGGAAACTAATCATTTCTAAAATAATACACTGACGGCATTTCACATAGAGAAAAAGAAAACTCACCTCCTCCATTTTTGTAGCAAAGATAAGGAAATCTCCACACATTTCCAAGACCGACAGCATAGCCGATGCAAGATAGTATAAACTCGGTCTTGTTTTCCCATTTTCCCCTCTCACGGTATTCTGACATTTTAGGAACACTTCAAGGGAGTTTAAATTTTTCCAATTAGTTCTTTTTTAAATGTTAATCAAACAAAACCACACACAACAATAGTTCCCTGTTTTTTTACTTCTAAAAGTCAGAATACTTTAATGTACTTTCTTTAAATTAAATTTACTACTATGACTAGAATTTCAAGATCGGTTTTTTAAGAGACGTGTATAATAAAATTTACAGTACAATAAAAAAACGGCCATGTAATTTTTTTTAAGTAAAAATATGTCATTCAAGTTGAAAATTTGAATCATCCTGTTATAACTGAAATTGTTGTAAGCAGTTTAATTATAAGGATGCAACAACATAATCTACCAAAACATTTAAATTGTGTATTTTCTATTGAATGCTACGAAATTTTTTTCTATGACAAGACATCAGTTAAGCAGAGTTAGGTTTAGCTAGTACAGTATACAACAACAAAACATTTCGATATATCATATCCTTATTTAATGAATAGGTTCAGGCATGCACTCGTGGTTAGGGTACTCGACTCGTAATCTGTGCGTCGGGAGTTCAAATCCCTGTCACCGAACTTGTTTGCCCTTTCAGCAGTTGGGGCGATATAATGTTACTTTCAATTCCACTATTTGTTAGTAGCAGCCCAAGAACTGGCAGTGAGTGGTGTTGACTAGATGCCTTCCCTCTAATCTACCACTGTTAAATTAGGGACGTCTAGGCAGATAACCCTTGAGTAGCTTTGTGCATAATTCAAAACACACCAAATCAGTTTATTGAATATGGTTGCTAAGTTAATCAATCATATTCTCATAATATACATAAATGAGTGAACTTATAATTTCTCGACTATGAATAGTGTAAGCAAGAATACTGTAACTTAGTCTGACCTATGCCATTTAGAAATGTCAAATCCAAGGTCAACAGTAATTTTTTGTCAGCTTCTGCAGTGGTGTTTATGACTTATAGTCAGAATTGGTGACTACCACAATCAGAAAGTGAAATTTCAAAAGAAATATGCTGGCAAATGCTAACTAAGTAGAAACAGACTGTGTACATAAAATGGATCTTTCTAATCAACATTGAAAAAAGTAAATTATAAATTAATAGGAAGTATTTATAGCACTTTTATTTATTTTCAAAACATTATCTCACTACAAGTTGTTGGAAATCTCTGTTCCACCAGCATTTGTTCACCAGCTGTGTTAGATATACACGACTGTTTTTATATAAATTTAATTCGAGAGTTATGATTTAAACAGTTATATAGCGCTAGTGTTAAATTTACTTATTTTTAGGAGCGATGGTTTATCGCAAGCATATTTACGTAACAGTTTACGAAACGTACATTGTGTGGTTCAGTTGTTGTGAATTGGTGATTGTTATATTACTGTGTCATGTTACTAGAACCTTCTAAGTTTTTCATTGTTTGAATTGAGTATTAGTGCGTCATAATATATTATAGTTTGTGGAATGTTCTAGGCCTCTTGGTGTATAAATATGCATTGAAAATTTAGTTCAATAGATAGACTTTGACTGCATGATTGTGAGTTTAGACATAAAGAGCATATAGTAGCGATTTATAAAGTGAAATCAAAGATTGTATTGTAATAACAGAGTAAAGAATAATAACTTGGCTTGTTAATTGTCTTCTAAAGTAATTGAACCAGCCTGTGTGGTATTTGAGAAATAAAGAGATAATTATTTAAAGCTTTGGATACAGCTGTGATAACCAAGAGTGTAACAAACATTTGTATATACGTTTGACTTGTTTTAATATATTATTTAAAAACAAGTGGACTGCAAGATGTTTGTTTATTGTTGACATTTATCGCTAACAAGTCACAGACACCTACTGTAGATAATATGGCCCATAAATAAAACATGACAAGCTGCTTCGACAATCACTTGCCTCTTCTCCCCCAACTCTGTTATTACTTGTGACAAAAGTGAGCGATCAAGACCAGTTCCATCAGCCCCAAAATGCCGTACAGTTATGCGATCTTGGTTCTGCTCACTAGAATGGCATCTATCCAATACAGATTTGCCCCTTTGATGTATGAGTCCATGGAGGTCAATAGACTCTCTAGTAACAAAAATAATAGAAACAAAGAAATTTGTCAAAAATCAAAACAGAAGAGATCCCCATCTAGATCTCCTCAAAAACCTAAGTGAAAATTACCATGCTGTAGAGTGAAAGTATTGAGGATTTTATACTAATTCAAGTAAAATTAAGGCTGTAATCAATATTTCCCAACCTTGCAGGGTATTTACTTGAAAAATACTAATATTGTCACCATTTGGCAGTATTCATTGTACAGAGAAGATAGTTTAAGTGATGGAAAGGTTCAAGAGAGAGTAGCATTGCTGACTAACAAACATAATTCTTCCATGAATGTGCCAGTTACTATACCTCTGAAGACTGTTACCTTCTGTGTAGTCATTGAGCATACTGTGACAAGATTCTCTCTTTACCTTTCTCCATGATTATGATCTTATCAATCCGTTGCCAATTCTGGGAGATTTAAATGGGCATAATCCACTCTGGGTGATGGAAATATTGGTTGGAGGGGTTCTATTTGTGGAACATTTCCTCTTGGATCACAACCTTTATCTTTTCATTACTGGAGAACATAACTATTTCCATGTTCTTATTCAAACATTTACTTTCATGGATCTGTCCATTTGTTTGCCTTTTCTCAATACTTCTTTTTACTTGGATAGTGGCCAGTGATCTATGAGACAATACTAATTTTCACATCATTCCGAAGAAAGTGGCAGCAGTTAGTGCTACCCAACTCATGTGCCACATTAAAAAATGGAGAAAGCCAATAACTTCTCCTTGAAGCTGGGACACTACAAACACAGTGCTGGTCAAAACATTTTTTACATAACCAATTTATTACAGCAATAATTGTTATTGTGTGAACGCGTTTCTAATGCTGTGCTCATGCTGGTTGAAAGGTTTCACTACAGGTCTATCTGGATTACAACTCTAGATGATGAGTGTAGCATGGGGCCGGTTTTTCATGTGTAATATAACGACTAAACTGATTTTTATAAGTAGAGTTGGTGCTGCTAATGAAGTGCTGGTGTCAATGTAATGGTATGTAATACATTGTGAATGTTTAAAACACTCTGAACTGTTTTGAACATTGGTAGATGCTTCAGATTTTTCCATTCATGCCTGAATTAGGTATTTGGTATTTCCTTCTGAACATCATCTTATGCAGCATATTGGTTAAACGGCCAAGTCTTAGATCCCACGATTGAGGCATATTTGTCCGTAATTTATAATTGCTAATCAGAAAAAGGGCACGCAGACAGCAGCGTCCACTGCCTATGCTGATACTCTTTTGTTGATATTTTGTTGATGACATCTCAAAACCAAAAGTAATTTATTTTTTGCATTAACACACTTTTTTATAGCTAATCGCCAAAAAGGAACAAAACGCGAAAATTAATAAAAACAGACGAAAAAAGGGGGGGGGGGGAGAAACATTTTACACCGTAAATAAGCAATGTATAAGCGCTTTTATGTAAAAGTAACATGTGTTAATTGGACTACAGTATTTGCGTAAGAGCTGAAATATTAAAAATATCATTTAAGCAACACTTTTCGTCTTTTTTAACATAATGAACTGCTTTCGCTCGTGTTAAACCTTGGATTCACTTATGTAACTCCCCAGCGTCTCAGCAGTATGAGGCCTCACACCGCTAAAAACCGGTGTTGCGTCATCGAGATCACATGACTTCAGTGACGCCACGTTTCTAGAACTATCCCGTATCTTGGCGAATGCTCTAGTATTTGCTAGATATAGGGTAGGCTGGTATATAAAAGAGGGGAGGGTAGTGC